AATGGACGTGGTAATGGCCGAGGACATGGACGTGGAAGACGTGGACGCGGACATGGTCGTGGAAACCGACCTAACCTCAGTTATGGTCCTGGTCGTGGTCGAGGCATCACCAAGCCGACCCGCCACACCAACCCCGATCACTCTGCTTGTACCAGATGTGGGATGTTCAACCACCCAACAAAGCAATGTCGCACCCCCAAGATCCACTGCGATCTATACCAGAAGTACGGAAAAGCTCCTGCTGAAGCCAACATGACTCAGCCAGTCGATGCTGCTAACCTGGAAGGTGACGACCTCCTTGATGATGAGAACACCACAAACGAGCAGACCGACCCCATGGACTATGAAACAGCTGATCTCCTCGATTAATTCAATCATCTGAAACTCTGATACAATTTGATTTTGTTCTTTATTTTTTTTCATTTTGGGATTTGTTTCATTTTTTTTCCATTTGCCTTTATTCTCAGACACTGCTTTACTTTATGATTTATCACATTTTCTGAATTCCTCAATACTGAATTCTATCTTCTATTCATAATGAAGCACACCAGCAAATGGAAACCATAGTCGTAGATAGTGGATCCAGCCACACTATCTTAAGAAACAAAAGTTACTTCATAAACCTAACCTATCAAACCGCAAATATTAGCACCATCGCGGGTCCCTCAAACCTTATCGAAGGATATGGCCATGCCTATGTGTTGCTATCAAATGGCACACAACTTGAAATACCAGATGCTCTATATTCTCCTAGTTCGAAGAGAAATCTTCTGAGCTTCAAGGATATAAGACAGAATGGTTTCCACATAGAAACCCAAGGTCAAGGGAACAAAGAATCCCTCCTAGTCACTAAAACCGTAGACGGCCATAAACAAATCCTCGAAACCATACCCGCACTCTCTACTGGACTTTACCATGCTAAAGTCAGTATGATTGAAGCTAATACCACTCTCAAAGCCCGGTTTACTGATTATACTATTTGGCACGACCGGCTCGGTCATCCCGGTGCAAATATGATGCGTAAACTAATTCAAAACTCTCAAGGGCATACCCTCAAAGAAAACCGAGCTTATCCTCAACACCTCATGTGCACAGCTTGTTCTCAAGGCAAATTGATCACTCGGCCTTCACCAGTTAAAATCTCTAAACAAACACTTCATTTCCTAGAAAGAATCCAGGGCGATATCTGTGGACCTATACATCCATCTTCCGGACCATTCCGGTACTTCATGGTCCTTATAGACGCATCGACCCGTTGGTCATATGTTTGTCTCTTGTCCTCTCGGAACCAAGCCTTCGCTAGGTTCTTGGCCCAAATCATAAAATTGCAGGCCCATTTCCCTGACTTCCCACTAAAGACTATCCGCCTTGACAATGCTGGTGAATTTACCTCACAAGCGTTTAATGACTACTGTATGGCCATGGGGGTAACCGTGGAACATCCTGTAGCACATGTCCATACTCAAAATGGATTGGCTGAATCATTCATTAAACGCATTCAATGGATAGCCCGACCATTACTCATGAGATCAAAGCTCCCGGCCTCAGCATGGGGACATGCAGTATTACATGCTGCTGAACTCATACGCATCCGGCCATCTAGTGAACACAAATATTCCCCATCCCAACTACTCTCGGGTCATGAGCCAGACATCTCCCATCTCAAAACATTTGGGTGTTCAGTATATGTACCCATTGCTCCACCACATCGAACCAAAATGGGACCTCAAAGAAGGATGGGAATATATGTTGGTTTTGACTCTCCCACCATCATAAGATATCTCGAGCCAACCACTGGAGATCTCTTCAAGGCCAGATATGCGGATTGCCAATTCGATGAATCGGTATATCCCTCTTTAGGTGGTGAGACAAACAAGCTGGTCAAAGATCTTTCATGGAATCAAACATCATTAAATTGGCAAGATCCTCGGACTCTAGAATGTGATTCAGAGATCCAAAAGATTATTCATTATCAAAAGCTAGCTAATCAATTGCCAGATTCCTTTGCTGACCCGACCAAAGTAACCAAATCGTACATCCCAGCTTGTAATGCACCAGTACGAATAGCTGTCCCAACGGGACAGACCCAAGTTGCTACAGAGTCTGCACCACGTCTCAAACGGGGCAGACCTCTCGGTTCCAAAGATAAGAATCCCCGGAAATCAAAGAAAGGTGCAATAACCGAAACCGGGATTCCTGCAATATCAGACATAGCCGCGGCTGAGACTCAATCTAATGAACCCTCAATGGAAGTTCGGGACGCCGAATCTCGAGGTTCGGAAGATAACAATGAGATCTCCATCAATTACAATATGTCCGGAATACAATGGAATCGAAAAGAAGTCGACTTAAATGCACTCTTTGCATACAAAGTAGCACTTGATGTTGCGCTCACGCAAGAGGATCTAGAACCCACGTCAATAACACAGTGTACACATCGAACAGATTGGCTAAAATGGAAAGAAGCCATAAACGTGGAGTTAAAGAGTCTCAAACTCAGAAACGTGTTCGGTCCGATCATCCGGACCCCATCACACATCAAGCCAGTGGGCCACAAATGGGTCTTTGTGCGCAAAAGGAACGAACTCGGTGAAGTCGTTCGATACAAAGCACGGCTTGTAGCACAAGGATTCTCACAGAGACCCGGAATCGATTATGAGGAGACTTATTCTCCAGTGGTGGATGCAACAACATTCCGATTCCTCATAAGTCTGGCCATAAGAGAAAATCTTGATCTGCGGTTAATGGATGTTGTAACCGCATATCTCTATGGGCCCTTGGACAACGAAATATATATGAGACTCCCAGATGGCATTGAACTAAAAGACAAAAATGCATCTCGAGATCAATACTGCATCAGGCTGAACAAATCCTTGTATGGACTGAAACAAAGTGGGCGTATGTGGTACAACCGCCTCAGCGATTACCTCATCAAAGAAGGCTACAAAAATGACCCCATCAGTCCATGCATCTTCATCAAGAAGTACTCAAACAAAGGATTTGTAATCATAGCAGTATACGTGGATGATCTAAACATCCTCGGAACATCTGGTGAGATCTCCCAAACAGTCGACTGCTTAAAAGCAGAATTCGAAATGAAAGACCTAGGCAAAACAAAGTACTGTTTGGGATTACAACTTGAGTACATCAAAGGAGGAATCCTTGTGCATCAATCGGCTTATATCGAAAAGGTACTCAAGCGATTTAATATGGACCAAGCTCACCCATTGACCAGCCCAATGGTAGTTAGAAGCTTAAGTGATGACCCTTTTGGTCCCAAAAAGGATGATGAAGAAATCCTTGGTCCTGAAAAGCCATACCTCAGTGCTGTAGGAGCGTTAATGTACCTGGCTAGTCACACTAGACCAGACATATGTTTCGCCGTGAACCTCCTCGCTCGATATAGTTCATCTCCAACTCAGAGGCACTGGAACGGTATAAAACATCTCCTAAGATACCTTCGAGGTACTCAAGACTTAGGACTCTTCTATACTAACCAAAATAAAGATGGGTTAGTCGGCTTCGCCGATGCAGGATATCTATCAGATCCGCACACTGCCAAGTCTCAAACTGGCTACGTTTTTACGCATGGAGGAACAGCCATCTCTTGGAGATCAATGAAGCAGACACTCACTGCCACTTCATCAAACCATGCTGAAATCCTAGCCATTCATGAGGCTAGTAGGGAATGCGTCTGGCTGCGCTCCATGACTCAGCACATCCGCAGAGATTGTGGTATGGACGAAGACACACAGCCCACGGTGATGTATGAAGACAACGCGGCATGCATAGCTCAGCTCAAGGAAGGATATATCAAAGGAGATCGGACGAAGCACATTCTACCGAAGTTCTTCTCAACCTCAGACTGGCAGAAGGACGGCACTCTCAGCGTTCAGCAGGTCCGATCCAGTGAGAATTCAGCTGACCTCTTCACCAAATCATTGCCTACTTCAACACACCGGAAGCTCGTCAAACAGATAGGAATGTATAGACTTAGAGATCTGCAGTGATGCTACAATCAGGGGGAGTAATGCGTGTTGTACTCTTTTTTCTTCACCATGGTTTTGTCCCACTGGGTTTTTCCTGGTAAGGTTTTAATGAGGCAACATTCCCCAGCGCATTATCGAGATCCCGATTGAGTAGCTGACCCGGTTCACTCATCCAAGGGGGAGTGTTATAACACATATCATATATGGACTCTTATACCGGCCCATTAGCCCATCAGAGCATTGTACTTAATCTAGATTCCCTATGTACTCTATATATACATTCCAGTGATTAATAAAGTTTCTAAGTTTTCACAACAAGAATAGATTTTATCCAGAAAAAAAATCCTAATATGAAATATTTCTTGTTGAAGATAATATTAAAATAGTTTCCAAACATAATTCTTTTTTTGAAAAATATGGAGTGTTTAGATGCAATGATATATATTATCTGTAAAGTCCAAATGTATATCACTTTTAATTGTATAGAAGTAAGTCAATAAAAATTGATGATTTAAATTGTTTACACGATAAGTTATGCTTTGAATAGCTAATTTAAATGTTTATGTTTTTTTATAATTTTCCAAAACTTTTGTGAACTAAAAAATCTTAAATATCAATGACCATAAAAAATCTTAGTTATCCAAAAAAAAATGGGAAATGGTCATAAAAAGCATCAATTTTCAAATTATGGCCAATCAAAGCATGAACTTCATAGTAGCCATTTTAAATCATCAACTTTAATTGACTTTCCTTTTAATTCTTGAACTTGTGTTAACCAAGCCATTTGAGGCATGTCCTTAAGTGTACTAACAGTCACAGTAAACGGAGTCTTTCGTTAAATCATCAACTTTAAAACGATGTCGTTTGTTGTTTGATAAAAAATTCCCAAATTGACTTTACAATCCCTAAATCGATATATTCCCAATTTGATTCTCTCATCTTCCTTCGATTTCGATCGACTAAAAACCTTCCAGGATTCTCTTGTGTTTTAGATGTAAATATGGTTAGATTTAATCCAAAATGACGATTCGAAGTAAACCCTCGGCTCACGACCTCGCACTTAACGACATGCCTCAAATGTTTCTACGATACACATTAGTATAATCCGATTAGTCCGCACTTCGCAGCTTCCATTTCAATTTTCTTATCTAAAGACGCCAATTTTGTCACCTTCTTGGAAAGAAACTGAGCCTTAAGCCACATGTCATGGCTTCTTCTCTCTCTGCGTTTCCTTCTTTGAATCCTTCGCCTCTCACTCCAAGATTCTTACAAACCCTAAATTCGCCGTTCCTCTCTCCGTGTTCTGTTTTGAGGCTAAAACATGCGTCTTTCCCGAATTCGAGAACTCGAATTTCCCCTCTTCAGTCCAAACGAGCGCGGTCCAAAACTATTGTTTTGTCTGCGCAGTCTAGTTTTCTGAAAGGTTTGTCCTTTCTCCTAACTTCGTAGTGGAATTTAGGGTTTTGATTGTTAAATTTATGTAATTAAGCAAAATTGTCATCAAGTTTCTCTCGAAAAGAAAGAGGTTTACTTCCTTTAGATGAAGCTAATTTGGATTAAGGGTTTATGGATTGATTAAAAGGGCTTGTTCATTGTTCTGTAGAACTAGCTTAGCTCGAATTTTGATGATACCCTTTAATTGATCAATTTCTTGATGGAGAAATTTTTGGAACAGAGCTGATTGTGTGCAGTTGAAATGCTTATAGCATAAAATTGTCTGCTAATGTTTCAGACTGTGTTTATTGATTGATTGTTCATTTTTCTGTGGAACGAGCTTACCGAAAATCATTATAAGAAGATACCCTGTAGTTGATCAATTTCTTGATGGTGAAAATGTTGATACAAATTTGATTGTGTGAAGTTGAATTGCTTATAGCGTAAGAGTATCTGCTAATTTTTCGGATTGAGGGTTTATGGATTTGATGAAATTGGTTTGTTCATTGTTGTGTGGAACGATCTTTACTTCGAATCGTGATGAGAAGATACCCTCTAATTGATCAATTTCGTGATGGTTAAATTGTTGGAACAAATTTGATCGTGTGCATTTCAAATGTTTATATAGCTAATGTATCGGATTGAGGGTTAATTGATTGATTAAAATGGTCTGTTCATTGTTGTGTGGAACTAGTTGACCTCCAATTTTGATGAGAAATATCCTCTAGTTGATTAATTTCTTGATGGAGAAATTGTTGGAACATAGGTGACAGTGTGTAGTGAAATGCTTATAGCGTGAGAATATCTGCTAATATTTTGAATTGAGTGTTTATTGAATGATTATAAGGGATTGTTCATTGTTCTGTGGAACGAGCTTACCTCGTATCATTATAGAAGATACCATCTAACTGAACAAATTCTTGGTGGGGAAATGGTTGCAACATAGTTTGATTGTGTGCATAAAAGTGTCTGCTAATTTTTCAGACTTTTGTGTCATTTTTCGGACAGTTCTTAGAACCGCGTGGAATATAGGGAAAGATGGAATCGAAGCTGGAACCAACCTTGTACCTGTGAGCTCTCTTTGCCTTGTCTTCACTGATCAAACTCATAAGTGATTTTAGTCACACTTAGTTATGTGTATTAACCTTTTTGCTTTTAGGTTTCTGTGCCTAGACCAGTTGCTAGAATCTCAGTAACAACTGCAGCATTGGCGGTTTCGTTGTTTGTTCTCAAGTCGTTTGTATCAACAGCTTTCTTTGTATTGGTATGTTATCCCTCCCTTATATCCACAATTTGAGCTAGTTTTTTTGTGTGACTAATCTCGCAAATGATGCTTTTCGTGAGTGTTTCAGGGTACAATGGGATTTGCATATTTCTTATTTATAGCCTTAAACAAAGATGAAGCTCCTAAACAAGGAAGAGATAGTAAGAGTTCTAGTTCCAAGCCAATGGATGATCCACTTGAAGAAGCCAAGAAAATCATGGAAAAGTACAAGTAAGCTTAAGATTTTTCTTCTCATGAGTGAGATCTCCAATGTATACAGATACAATACTTAGGAATGTTGTGTTGTGCTTTGATTTTAAGATCAACTCGGAAAGGAGTAACCAGGTCTACTGCTAAAGTTCTGGTTAAGAAAATATTTACATGTTATACCAAAACATATCCCAACTCTGAGGGATACTTACTAGAGAACATGCACTAACATTTATATTTCCTTTTTTAAAAAGCAACCCAAATAAAAACCAACTAGAAAACTTTGAATAAAAGTATTTAACCACAATACAGACTTAACAAATGTTCAAGCAAGAACCTGCGAAGGAGTGGGACCGAGCAGAAGAAACCTAAAGCAAATCCGTAAAGGGAGGCCTAGCAGTTCTTTTATTCTTTTTTACTTTTTAGTTGCATAGACTTTCCGATAAAAGCAACACAATTTTTCCAAATCCGCATGCTAATGTTGTGCGAAACCACATTAACATTGAGATCATCAGAGATTCAGGGATTTAGCAATCTTCCATGTTCCACAAGACGGCAGTCTTTGTTGTTCTACTAGAGAGTAGATACCATGTTCATTAATAAAATTAGCATAATATTAACAGATGCAAAAGATGATTTTGGCGCTGGGAATTTGGGTATTCTGTTTGGTTTGATTCGGTTTGGTTTTTCTCAGATTTTGGGTAGTTCGGTATAGAGGTTAGGATCCATATTATAACCGAAAGAAAATCGATTTGCACTTCGGGTATCTTGGGTTTTGTATCGGTTTATTTCAAAATTGGATCCGATTGAGTTTTGGTTTTACCCAATTCTTGGATGCAAAAATATTTTCAAGTGCGGTTTGGATATTTTTACCCGAACTACTCGAATTGCCCAAACTATCTAAAATATTCAAAAAATACCCAAACTGCTTGAGATATTTTTACCAGAAATACCAAAATACTTATAAAAGAAAAACCAAAACCTCTGAATATTTTTTTTAACACTGAATTTATTATTCTATTACAAATTATGAGAAACTATTACATCGATGATTCTACAAAGATATACTGCACCACGTTGAAGACATCATATAAATTTATATCTATTAATTTAATAATAAATCACATTTTTGGAATTTGAAATCCAGATTTCTTAGTATATAAGCATTAATGAATTTTGATCAACCATTGAGCCAAAAAGACTTCCACAAACCTTCGAATATATAATAGTAATTTTGACTATTTTGGCTATTTCAAATCAAATACATCGGACCAAATTGAATACCTTAATTCCCAATAGAATTTTGGTTGCTAAAAATAAATAAATTTTGAGGTATTTCTAAAAATTCTTTATATTATTATTTGAGTAGAAATTCACATAAATAAACTTTTATTTATAAGATATTACAGAATAAATAAATATTTATTTATAAGATATTACATAAATGAACTTTTAATTAGAAAATATTACATAAATAAACTTTACAAAGATAGAAAGCTCAATTAAATATTTCGAGATAGTTAAATATAGAGCTTACAGATTTGTTTTGAATATATATGGATATAGATTTTTATTTATGTATCAACTTAAATATTCACAATTTTTATTTATGTATATCAACTTAAATTTAGAGCTCACGAATTTGTTTTGAATTTTTTTTTATGTTACAGGTTTTTAGTAAACTATGGATCTAATCTGAACTGGTTATTCTTTTTTTTTTGCTTAAAAATTCATGTTTACACAACCTACCATGAAAATAAACCATAAAATTATATTTAGAAAGAAAAACAAACATAAACAACAATATAAAGAAAATATATAGTAGAACCCAAAGAGAAACAAACAACAATCAAACAATAAATAACATACACTCACAAATATGTTGTAAGAAAAAATTAATACAAACCTAAACTAAGACATGAATTATACACACACAAAAATATCCTTTCTGTGTCTGTCTAAAAATATCAAAATAATAAATTAGAGAGTTTACGAATATCAATTAAGCAAATTAAAAGTTCAAATGATTTGTTGACAAAAAAAAGTACTAATGATTTATATTTACAATTGCCTGTTAGATCCATTTCAAGATATGATTGCAAAAGTTCGAACCAATCACTTATAGTTTGCGGGATGAACTCTAGGTTCAAGTAAAACAATAAAGAAGCTCAGATCAATCTATATTTACGAACAATAACTCAAATATATCCATAGGAAAACTTAATAAAGAAGAACACAAATATATAATACGGAGCAACAAACACTACAAGAAAAACATCATTTTACAACGGCCGAAATGGTCGTTATTTCGTCGTAATAGGGCCATTACGACGGACTACCGACGATTTCGAAATCGTCGTAAAACATCGTCGTAATAGACAAATCGTCGTAAAATCGTCGTATAATATACGACGGTTTCGTTTCGTCGTAACATCGAGGGAAACAAAATCGTCGTAAATGCGTCGTACAGTTTACGACGATTTTACATCGAATTGCGTCGACTTGATCTTCACCTGGACCGTCGTTAAGTGGTCGTTAATTGTCGACGTAAGATCGTCGTAAAATGTACGACGCATAAATCGTCGTAAATCAATCGTAAAGTATTTAATCATTTCGTCGTAAAATCGTCGTAAAGCTCGGACGTATAATTGTCGTATTTGTCGTCGTAGATTTTAGTCGTAAATTCGTCGTAATATTTACGACGAATGTACGACGGTTTTAGTAAAGCTATTACGACGATTATACGACGTTTAATTTTAAAAAAAAATTTACAATTTAAAATTTATTAAAATTTGAAATTAAAATTAATTGTAATTTACATAAAAACCCTACAGCTCTAAATCTAAATCTAAATCTAAATCGTCGATCCTGTCAGCGACCTCCTCCCCATCGTCCTGGACGTGTTCCTTGCCGGGTCTTCGGTTTGATGCTTCCGCCGCGCCTGATCTCCGGCTCTAGGAGGCTCAACCCCGAGAGATCGGAACATCTCCTCGTCCGTCTGCACCGGCGGTTGCGTCCTAGTGTATGACCCGGCGGCAGACGATCCGACAACCCCATCAGCCTGCAGCTTGTCCAACTGCGCCATGAGTACCGGGTTGTCGGCTCCCATGATCTCGAAGAGACCGTAGAGCTGGTCGATCCTCGTCTCGTACCGGGTCCGCATCTGATTGATCTCCTGGCAGATAACCGGATCCGGGACCCGGACGTGACCAGTCGCCGTAGCTTTCAGGGTATCACGGATGGACCCCATCCCTAATACCTGCCCCTTTTTCTTTGGGGCAACCTACAAATATTTAAAAATATTATGGTTAGAAATTTAATTTAAAACTAAAGTTACATTAATTAAATATAGTAATTAAATTTACCTCTTCGAAGATCTGGTCCATCTCCGCCACCGTCAGCACCGGGGTCGATTGGACCGAGCTACCTCCGGGAAATGTTTGACGCGCCTGCTGAGTCAGCTGCGTCTGTCGCTCCTCGATCGCCGCACAGGCGGCGTTGTAGATCTCCTCCGCCCGAGGATCCGTGAATTCGCCGTTATGCTTCTTATGCGTCTCGGCGAAAACCTTCTTCATCGGAGGAAGTTCTCCTCCGTTATCTTCGACCTACAAAATCAAAATGAAAAACTTAATTAGTATCGAGAAATAAGAGTTAATTATTTGAAAACAAAAAAATAGTAATTTTAATTTACTTACCATCATAAGCCGTCTTCCGGCAAAAAGAATCTGGCCGGAAGTGTGCGTGACGTTCTTCCGATTTCCTGCATCGTCAGTAGCGTTCCTGAAAAATATTTTCATTAGAATCTACTATAAGAAAAAAAATAATGTAAATATTATTGGAATTAACTATTTACCTAGATCCGGAACACTTGGCGGCCGTAGTCTGGTTGTGCGGATCCAACCAGTACTAGACAAGGCCCCGCCAGACGATATTGGCCATAGGCGCCGGCTTGGTCTTGTCGCCGTCAACCTCCCACTTCCGTTTTCAGTCGGAAACGGTGTTGTTGAGGCGGAATTTGACCTTCTCCTTGAAGGCCGTCTCCACACGTCCGTGTGCGGATGTTTCCCAATGCCAGTTTTGCTAAGGAAAAAAAAAGAAGTTAGTAATTATTGTAAAAAGTTAAAATTTAAAATTAAAATTAAGCGATATGGTAAATTACTTACCGCAAAACACTTGAACCAAGTGTCAAGTGTGGCCTGATCCAGCTTCTTCCAGCTGGTATGGGGTTGTACGAAAAACCCCTTGATGATATCCGCAACGTTACGACCGACTGCATTGTCGGTCGTAAACCTAGTCAAATGGAAAGAGAAAAAGTAAATTAATATCAAATATATAAGAATAAATATTAATTAATTTAAAAATATTGTAAGAAAAAATTATGTACCAAAATGTGCCCGGGGCTCGATCCGGGTCGATTTTGTTCATGGTCTCACGACCGGGTTGCGCCAGAAGATCCTGTACCGTAAACTGGGCATACGGTACAGGCGGGATCGGATCAGCCTCAGGATCGGCCTGTGCAGGAGCTGCTGGTTCGGCTGGTGGTGGTGGAGGCGGTGCCGGCTGCGGAACAACGACCGGTTGGGAAACCGTCCGTTGTGTTCCCGAGGACTCCGGGATGGCTGATCCGGTCGCCGAGGTAGACGGGGCCGTACCGTCAGAATCGACGAGCTGTCGGTAGTGAAATCTCTTAGCCCGAGGAGCCATATCGACAGAATCTACAAAATTTTAAAAAATTAGTTACTAATTTTTCAAATATTTATTTAAATTTACCAAAATCCGGGCATAACCAAATTCCGAAATCTAAATCTAAATTCCGAACCTAAATCTAAATTCCGAACCTAAATCTAAAATAATATGTAATGAAATTAATTTAAAAAAATACTTACAAATTAATTGGCTGGAGAGTAGGGAGAGAAGGGAGAGGTAGATTTCTAGAGAGATAGAGAGATTTCTAGAGAGAGAGTGAGGAAGAGAGGAATGAGCGACGAATGAGGAAATCTCGCGTAACTTTACGACGGTTTTACGACGATTCGGTTGTATAACAGTCGGTCCACTGCATGACATGACACGTGTCGTGATGGGAGCATTTGACCGTTACGACGATTTTACGACGATTAAACCCAAAACCATCGTAAAATCGTCATAACGTCTAAACATTTATAACCTCGTACCTCGGATCAAGAGCCTATCCGGTGCAAACGTTACGACGGCTTT